TTCACTGTTTTGGTGTCACTTAATATCCAAGTGGTCTCCAGTCTCTATTTTATAGAGACTGTATAAAACCTATAAAAATGTGTGATTAAAATATGTATGTTTTAGCCATCCTTGTTCTGACATCAGGTGCAGGCTCCTGAGACTAAATTACGGGCCTAAAATCCTTTTAACACTTTTAGACACGGACTTCAAGGCCTACAGTAATATAGAGGGGACTGGCTAGACAAAAAGAACGGGAAAAAGGCAAGAAAAAAAGCCCAATAAATGGCAGTTGCCATCACAGTACTCTGCCACCTCAGACTCACTCACCCAAGGCCCCATGTGCCCTAGGGCATTCGGGACCTCAACCTCTCAATGGGCTTCCACTGCCAGCAACCAGGACACCTCAGCTGCAAGATGCTGTCCCCAGGGCCATGCCTTCAGTGCCATTGTACAGGGCACTGAAAGGAGGGACTGTCCCACTCTCCAGAGAGGGAGGGGGCCAGTCCAAACCACGGGCCAGGATGGGAGGACAGGCTTGACGGTCAGCTGCCTCTGATGAAGAACCCGGTGCAGGAGAAGACCTTCTCTGAAGAAGCCCAGAGGTGAGACAATCTCCCCTGTTTATTGTTTATATGGATAAGCCTCGGGTGACCCTAGAAGTGGCAGACAAAAAGATCATCTTTTGGTAAATAAGGGGCCACTTGCTCTGCCTTACTCCAATTCTTTGGATTGACCTACTGGTCAATTGTCCCCCTCACTAGTACAGATGGCCAGGTCTCATTGTGCATTGATGTTGAGCATCGGTTCACAGAAACTGTTCATTGTAAATTTTGGTTGGTACCAGTGAATCTGTGATTTTGCAATTTGTCTGTTCATGTTTGAGAAAATTATGATGTAAAATTTCCATTTTTCTATAAAAATAGGTGCAATAATAAAGTTTTGATGTCCTGAGTCTTCATCTTGGAGGATTACCTTATTATGTTTAAACTTAACATTTTATGTACTAACATTTAGAGGGCCACATTTCGATAACTACAGTAAACTTAAGTATGTATGAAATCCTAGAGCCCTAGACCTGTTAATGACTAAAGTTAAAAGAATTTGTGACTTCCTTACTCTTGAACCTCAACACTCTTGAACTAAAATCTTTTGTTTTGTTTTTCTCTTGCTTGGGCCTTACATCCTCAATGCCTTCACTGAGGCCATTTCTTGCCTGGAGACCATCGAACTATGAAGCCCCCACTGTCCTTTCCAGGTCCCTTAGATCGTCGCCCTGCAGTGGAGCCTTGTTTCCCCTCATCGCCCACTTTCAGCAGGAAACAGTTACTGATCAGAACGATGCCCCTTTCCCTGACTGCAGTTAGGGGCTCCATTCGCAGAAGGGGAGGAATGAGACATAGGGCAAGTTAGGGTAATTAGGCAGTTTTAGGGACAGTGCAGGATGGGACCTCTGAAGAGTTTAGGGAGGCTTCAGAGATAAAAACAACTAAAGGAATGTGTTAACATTGGCCTTGGTTTCCTTCAAGTGATAACGGAGAGTGTTCTAATTAGAGCAGCAGACTCATTTATGCAAGGAGGAAATGAGAAGGGGTTAGTATTAAGACTGGTGGGCCAGCAGCCTGTTTTATTCAATAGCTGATGTTTAGTGACCAGATGAATAACTCTGTGACTGGCTAACTGAAGAGAGATCCCTTGTTTGAGCAGAGTAATTCTCATTTGTAACTGAAGATAATACCTCTTGCTGACTAGATAGATGGTTTAGCGTCTGATTTTCAGAGGTTGTGGTCTGAGATGACCCAGAAAAAGTCAATGTTTTGTATAAGGATGGCAATTTTTCAACTTTGCTGGACCTATAAACCTGTGAATGAACAATAGATAGCACATTATGTGTGGCTGAACTTAACCATAATTTTGAGACTGACTAACTGATAAAAGGCTTGGTAGCTGTGTTATAGAATAAATTTGCGCTTGGCCCAATACTGTTGTAGAGCAACCCCGATACAAAACGGGGTGCCTGACTGTGGGTCCTCACCCGCGCGCTTAAAAGGACTTACCAATGCTCTACTGCAGGCACACGTGAAAGGTTAATAAAAGGTTTATTTACAAGGGAAGGGGAAATGAGGAAATGTACAGCTCTGGGAGAAAAGTGGGAGACAAAGTTTTAAATGAGTCCTACCCAATCCGCCAATCAGGAATGGTGCTCTCAGAGTTCGCCGCTAGCCAGGAGCGGTGAAGCCAGGAGGCGAGCGATCGCGAGCCAGAGAGAGAGCCCAAGGCCCACGTGTTTGGTTTTTTATATCCAACCTGGCTGCCCAACTCCACCCTCAGGTCCCAGCCACCCTCCCTTGGTGGTGATGGGATTTGTCTTTCCCAGAGTCTTGATGGCTTTAGTCTGGAGTGGGGGTGGGGTCCACAAAGCCTGTATGGGATTATCTCAGGACATCATTTCCCCCTAACAATACTACAGAACTCTGGTTATGTAAAAGTTTGGAATGGCTTAGTGTTTGTACAGGAGGAATAATATTTTAAGGTAGGGGAATCTTAGTTGATGTTAGAGCAGCTTTTTATTTCTGTAGTAGAAAGATACCCTGATGATGAAATTGCAGATGAGTAAGACTGAGTAAGTTCCACTGAGACCTGGGAGGTCTTCTGTCGCAACCCTCCATTGCTCACCTGAGTAAAATCTCCAATTGCATTGTAGGATAAAAATGACTGCCTAGTTGTTTCCTGAAAATTAACTATACTCGTATTTGACAGACAATTATGTAAGGAATGCTGTGAACCAGTCAGTTGTGCCTGAGTAGACTGGGTACCTGAAGGCCGCTAATGGTGTTTTGAGGCAGCAGTATCTGGACTTAGACCAATAAGAATCTCCTTAAAAGAGACATGATTGCAAACCATTCAGCTCATGGTCCTCCACTCCCTATATGCTCCCCTCCCTCCTAATGATTCAAATAGCTTTGCTTTATAACAGTTCTTGCAAAAAAAAAAAAAAAATGCGGGAATGTGCCAACAGCCAAGAGAAGCAGAAGCAGTAGAGAAGCAGAAAAGGCAGGAGAGAGAGAAGGGGAGGAAAGAAGCCAGAAAAGCCCAGAGTGAAGACTTGCCAGGGGCTTGGAGGCCTACTGTCCTCCTGGCCCCCCCCCCACCCCTATTTGCCATGTACCTCTTTGCTGCTCTATATGTAACAGCTCAACAAAAGCCTGAGAAACCCACTGATGGCTCCAGGACTCCTCCTTTAGCCCATCTGCCGGATCAGAAAACCTGCTTAGTGGGCATCCTGCCACTACACCATGGACTCCCATCCCACATAGGATGACAGGCTAAAACAGAGTAAACCCTGGGGACCAGGGTTGACCTGGTTAAACAATCTTTCAAAACCAGACATATCGGGAGAAACACCAGTACAGGATTTGATAGGGGTGAAGGATGTCCTGAGCAAACCCCATACAGGCTTTGTGGACTCCACCCTTACAACACTGAGAACTACAAATCCCATGATTACCAAAGGGAAGGTTGCGAGTACCTGAGGGCGGAGTTAAGCAACTAGGCTCTCGGTTTGGATATTTAACTGGGGGGTGTGGGGTTGGGAGTTCGCTGGCTTGGCCACAGGTGTGTTAGGTTTTTCCCAGCTTGGCTGGTCATTGGGATTCCGGTCAGTGGAACGGGTAGGACGCATTTATGAACTTATGTCCCTCTTTTTCTCCCTGAATTATTCCTTTCTCCATTCCCCCTTCCCTTGTAAAAAAACCTTTTATCAACCTTTTGTGTGTGTCTGCAGTTTAGCATTCATAAGTGCCCTTTAAGCGCGCTGGTGAGGATGCACAGTCAGGAAACCCCATTTTTTATCGGGGTTTGCACTGTAACAGATTTATTTACACAGGGAGTGAGAAAAAGGTGTAAAGCAACCAACCCATTCCGAGCAGGTTTATGAACAGTTCTAGCAGCCACATGCTCTTCGCCGTGGTTTGTAGTCGCTCCAACACTCCTTCGTACACTCCACTCCTCCACCCTTAATACCACACTACCACCACACCGCACTCTGCTGCACCACCCTTATATTATCAGTCTTTTAGCGCAGGTGTACCCACTTCAGGTGCCCGCCATCAGGCATGCACCCAGGATCACAGGGCTCCCTCATCTATGCTGATGGCGGAAGAGCAGAAAAGCCTGATACCTTTTACCTTACCCTACAAAGGGCAACAGGAGGGAGAGAGGATAGAAAGAGGATTTGCAGGCTGGTATATATCCAGATGCCAATCTACGTCATATAGCATCTGCTGAGCAGAGACCACTGTTTAAGCTGGCAGCTTCTCCACAGATACCTCTCCTCACTACATGTTTGACTGTTGAAGTCTCAAGCAAAAGCCCAGTAGTTTACCAGCCAAAAGCTCTGGTAGTTATATTGCCAAAAATCCTCAGTTCTCTCCCTTTTCCCCAGCAGCTCATCCTTACCCCATTAAAAGGATACAAGTTGGAAAGCACCATCTTCTACCATGGAATTGGCTATTAGCACTGCCCACTGGCTTGGAGAGTGCTTCTCACTCTTCGACTTACAGATTCACCCCATCTCTGCACAGTAGAACAATCTGTGGTAGGACAGACAGCATCTGGCCAGATGCCAGTCAATAATCTCTCCTCTCAGCTCTCCTCTTTCTCAAGTCCTCTGTAAATAAATCCTGTTATTATCTTCACCCCTTCTTTTTTTTGGTGGGACCCTCGCCGGTGGCTGGGGATCGAACCGGCGCTGCAGAGGCTGCGGGTAGCCTCTCAGCCAGCGCTCAACCGCTGCGCCACCAGGGGAGGCCCTACCCCTTCTGTCTGATTTTGAGTTGTGTTCTGCTAGCTAAGCTTGTGGTGAACTTAACAAAGTGACTCATAGTCCCCCAGGTTTTTTCCCCTTTCAAAAACACATTTTTTCTTCATTTGTGGGTATTTGTGGGTTTACTTTTTCTTTTTTTTTAAGTTTAAGATTTCCCCCCTAGACCGTCTCCCTCTTCAAGACACCCATTGCTTACCTAGTTTTGCTCATCAAATGTCAGGATCTGAACCCAGGACGTTAACAACCACAAAAGCGGGGATGAAAAGGGCAAGGCTAAGCTGCATAAGTCAGCGGAGAAAGTCCTGGAGGAGCGCCACCAAGCTCCCAGTCTCCCCACCGGCAACGGAGAGTCCCCGCCCCCCACGCGCCGCTCGCCGTCAAGCACCCCGCCCCCACATCGCCGCCTGCCCAGCACCGCCCCCCGCCTCCCGCCCCTCGCGTGCGGGGCGGTGCTCCGGCGTCTCCGCTTGTCCGCTCGGCCTAAGATGGCGGCGGCTTTACGCGCTGGCGCCGTCGCGCAGCTGGTTAGTGGGCAATGCCGGTCGAACCTGGAGGTGGAATTGGGAAGCCCTACTTTATGTCTCACGCCCCTTCTCCCAACAGATGCGGTCCTGGATCCGCCCGCTGCCCTGCTCCAGGCGGACCCTGCACACTAGCGCGGCTTGCGCCAAGGTGAGTGCGGTCGCGGCGAGGGACCGGGGCTTTGGGGAGGTGACTCGGGGGCTGGGAGGTGCCGGAGGAGTGAGGAGTAAGGAGGGGCCTAGGTGAGGGATGGTTGAAACCCGGGACCTGGGGGCGGCCTCGAGGGATGTTGGTTGGCGAGGCGAGAGCCCAGAACCGTAGGCCTGGACTCAGGCTAGAGCGCGGCCGGGGCGCGGTGGGCGCCATAGCCACGCCCCCCCGTTTTTCCCCTAGAACCGGGCGGCCCGAGTTCGAGTGGGTAAGGGAGACAAGCCAGTGACCTACGAAGAGGCCCATGCGCCGCACCACATCGCCCATCGCAAGGCCTGGCTTTCCCAGCACACAGGTAAGAAGATGATGCCTGTATCTGTGACAGGAGAGAACCAGGACTTTTTGGGGAGCTGGCCATTTGACACCAGGCCCCAAGAAAGGAAGCATTCGTAATCGTGACTGTCACATAAACTCGAAATGAGCACTTGTCAGAGGCTTTATTAACCTCAGTTATCAATGGGCCAGTAAGATAAGTTAAACAACTTCAAAGGAGAAGTAAAAAAGCAGACATCTAGATAAGGAATGTTGAATGTTATTTGAAAGGCATACAAAGCCGGCCTTTTCTATGGGGAGCAGGGACTCATTTGGACCACAACAGAAATTGTTTTCATATCTAAAGACAAGAATTATTTTGCATTGTTATCAGTTCTGTAACATTTACAGAGATGTAAAATAGCTCAGAGGCCATGAAGGAGTGAAACCACCAAGAATGCGATGACCAAGAGTATATTCTAAACATTGTAGTTTTCCCTGAGGCATAATTTTTTCTCTGCAGGTATATTCACTTGACCTCCATTATTCTCAGAATCCATACTTAAAATTTACCTTATCTGGTGCTTTCTCAGATATGGGCATAGCATCAACCCCAGGTTTGCTTTGTAGCTGAGTTTCTTGATGAAGAGATGGCCTTGCCATCTTTAAGCTTTCATTTTTTTTAATTGTGTATTTACATATTTTTTACATCATTGTTCATTTTTAAACAATGTTTGCTCCCCTTTCAGGTGTAGTACGCACAGAATTTCCTTCACCAATGCACCCATGTACCATCACCATAGTCCTTTGTGCTCTTCCCTCCTCCCTCTGATGCCTCTCCCTCCTGCTCTGCAAGATGTCTCTGATTTATAATTGTCTGTTTTTGTTTTGTTTTGTTCTGTTTTGTATTATTACTATTTTTTCCCCTATTACATTATTTGGCTCCCCTATATTCCTCTTATAAGTGAAACCATCCGATATTTTTCTTTTTCCTTCTGATTTATTTCACTGAGCACAATTCCTTCTAGCTTCAACCACGTTGCTGCGAATTGCATGAGTTTATCTTTTTTGATTGCTGAATAGTATTCCATTATGTATATATATCACATCTTCTTGATACAGTCATCTATTTTTGGGCATCTGTTTCCAGGTTTTACCTGTTATAAATAGTGCTGCAATAAACATAGAGGTACAGGTATTCTTTTGAATCAATGTTTTTGTGTCCTTAGGGTAGATATCTATGTGTGGAATTGTTGGGTCATATGGTAGCTCCATTTTTTAGTAGACTAAGGACCCTCCAGACAGCTTTCCATAGTGGTTGGACCAGTTTGCACTCCCACCAGCAATGTAGGAGAGTTCCTTTTTCCTCACCCTTGTCAACATTTGTTGTTACTAGTTTTTTGATATGTGCCATTCTTACTGGTGTAAGGTGGTATCTCATTGTGGTTTTGATTTGCATTTCCTGATTATAAGGGATGTTGAACATTTTTTCATATGCTTGTTTCCCATTTGCATTTCCTCTTTGGAGAAGTGTCTTTTAAGTTCTTTTGCCCATTGCTTGACTAGATTGTTTACTTTGTTTTTGTTCAGTCTTCTGAGTTCTTTGTATATATTTGTGATCAGTTCCTTGTCAGTTGTATAGAGTGCAAAGATTTTTTCCCAGTCAGTGGGTGTCTCTCTGTTTTGGTTAATGTCTCTTTGGCTGTACAGAAGATTTTCAATTTGATGTAATCCCAGTTGTTTGTCTTTTCTTTGACTTCCTTTGCTTTGTGTGAGGAGTCTTTAAAGATGTTACTGAGATGTATGTCTTATAGTGTTTTACCTATATTTTCTTCTGTATATTTTATGCTTTCAGGTCTTATGTCCAGATCTTTTATCCATTTTGAGTTGATTTTTGTGCATGGTGAGAGGTAGTGGTCTCTTCTTTCTTCTGCATGTGGTGGTCTAGTTTTCCCAACACCATTTTTTGAACACACTGCCCATGTTCCATTGCATATTCTTTGTTACTTTGTCAAAGATTAGTTGTCCATATAAGTGTGGGTTTATTTCTGGGCTTTCTATTCTGTTCCATTGGTCTGTGTTTCTGTTTTTGTTCCAGTACCATATTATTGTAATTATTATGGCTTGTAGTATAGTTTGAAGTCTAGGAGTGTGATACCTCCATTCCTTCCAGGAGAGCTCTGGCTATTTGGGGTTTTTTGTGGCTCAATACAAATTTCGTCAATATTTGTTCTATTTCTTTGAAGAGTATAATTGAAACTTTTATTGGAATAGCACTGAAATTGTAAATTGCCATTGGTAGGATGGCCATTTTGATAATGTTAATTCTTCCGATCATTTAGCAGGGGATGTCTTTCCATTTTTTTGTGTCTTCTTTTATTTCTTTTAGCAATGTTTTATAATTTTCTTTGTATAGGTCCTCTGTCTCTTTTGTTAGGTTTATTCCCAGGTGTTTGATTTTTGTTGTTTCAATTATAGAAGGGATGGTTTTCCTGGTTTCTTCAGATATATGTTTGCATGTAGGAAAGCTACTAATTTTTGTGTGTTGATTTTGTGTCCTATTTTACTAAAGTGGTTGATTATTTTGATTAGTTTTTCTGTGAAGATTTTCTATGTATATTATATCATCTGCCAATAGTGATAGTTTTACTTCTTTTTTCCTTACTTGGATTCCTTGTATGTCTTTCTCTTGTCATAATTATTGCTCTGGCTAGGACTTGCATCATTATATTAGAAAGCAGTGGTGAGAGTGGACATCCTTGTCTGGTTCCAAATCTTAAGGGAAAGGCTTTCAGCTTTTCACCATTGAGAGTGATAGTGGCTATGGGCTTGTCATATGTGGCCTTCATTATGTTGAAGTATGTTCCTTCTATCCCAAGAGTTTCAAGGGCCTTTATCCTAAATGGATGTTAACTTTGTCAACTGCTTTCTCAGCATCAACAAATAATTGCTTTTCCAATGTTGAACCATCCTTGTGTCCCCTAAATAAATCCTACTTGGTCGTGGTGAATTCTTATTGATGCATTGTTGGATTCAGGTCAGCAGGATTTTGTTGAAGATCTTTGCATCAGTATTCATTAGAGATTGGCCTGTAGTTTTCTTTTTTGGTGACGTGCTTGTTCACTTGTGGATTAGTGTAATATTGGCTTCATAGAACGTGTTTGGTATTATCCCTTCTTTTCCAATTTTTTGAAGGCGTTTGTGTAGGCACTAGTTCATTGCTGAACGTTTGGTAGAATTCTTTTGTAAATCCATCTGGTCCTGGGCTTTTGTTTTTGGGGGGAGGGTTTTGATTACTGTTTCAATTGCAGTGCTTGTAATTGGTATGTTTAGCTATTTTATTTCTTTTTTATTTAGCTTTGGATGATTGTAAAGTTGTAAGAATTTGTTTCTTCTAGATTGTTGAATTTGTTTGAATATAACTGTTCATAGTAATTTTTGATTATTTTGATTTCTGCTGTGTCTGTTGTGATGTCTCCTCTTTCATGTATGATCCTATTTGTGTTGTCTCCTGTTTTTTGTGAACCTGAGTAGGGGTTTGTCTAGTTTATTTTTTCAAAGAACTAACTTTTAGTTTCATTTATCTTTCGAATTGTTTTCTTAGGTACTATTTCATTTATTTTTGCTTTGATTTTTATTATTTCCTTTCGTCTTCTGTCTTTTGGATATTTTTGTTGTTGTTCAGTTCTTTAAGGTGGTGGGTTAGGTTGTTCTTTTTTGTTTCTTGATGTGAATCTGTATTGCTATGTATTTTCTTATAACTGCTTTTGCCTATGTCCCATATGTTCTGAAGAGTTGTGTCCTCATCATCACTCATCTCAAGGTATTTTTTAATTTCTTCCTTGTTCTCCACATTGACCCAGTAGTCTTCCAATAATGTGTATTTCAATCTCCATGAAGTAGTGATATCATAGGTATTTTGGTGGATGCTGTCGCTGAAGATTCCTTCCCTCTGTAATTACTCATTTCCACAAGGGGATCATGGGTTCCCTCGGTTCGTTTTTTGAGTCATCTCTCTCTGGGTTCCCAAAGGGGATTGTGGGGTTCTTGCCTTGCAACAATAGCGCAAGGGCCATGCTTTCCTGGTGTGCCTGCAGTTCAATTTGATGACGAATCCTGTGCCCTAGTTCAGATAGGTTCCGTAGCTCAGGTAGGAAGGCGTCAAAGGTCTGCAGTGGCTTTGTTCAGCATGCACTTCCCTGCTGAGTCTGTTTCAGGGCTCTCCCTCCTTCCAGTCCAGAGGGTGGTTGTGGGGGTCCCTGACTTCCCCCGCTGATGGTGCAGAGACTGCACCTTCCTGGTCTTTGCAGTTTACGTGGATGGCTGACATGTGCCCCAGTTCCACAGCTCAGGTGGCCAGGCACTGGAGGCCTGTGGTGGCTTTTTCAGGATGCACTTCCCTGCTGAGTCCATATCGGGGCCCTCCCTCTCTCCAGTTCAGAGGGTGGCTGTGGAGGTACCTGATTTCCCCCTGATGGCACCAAGACCACCCTATTAATTGGTTTTATGGGAGAACTTACTCGTAGCATTTCTTTGCTGCCACATTGATCAACTGACCTTCCTCTTTAAGCTTTCATACTATAAACAAGTGTTCTTTGGAGATCTGTTTTCAAGTTTGTGCATTCCACTGCTTAAAATAGCCTATCACAGTAAAGTCCTGCCCACTGTTCTTATGGACAAGAAGACTGTGGTGTGCCTTACAGAGAAATTTTGCATGTTAGTTGAGCTTCCTTCAGACATGGATTATAGACAAAGTTTTTTTTTGTTTGTTTTTTTTTTGTTTTTTTTTTTTTGGTAGGAGAACTGGTGTATAAGCCAGAGGTGGGATGGAAGGAGGATTCACCAGAGACAAAGTAGGAAGGAGAACAGGCAGATCCACTGAAATACACTTCTGAGGGGAGCAGTAGGCGAAACAGGAGAGGCCTGCTGCACCTGGCTGGGATGGAACTCAGGCCATGGTAGTGATAGTGCTGAGCCCTAACCCCTAGTCACCAGGGAGGCTCTAGACAAAGATTTCAGTGGTAATTAAGCACATATATTAAACAAGTTGTGCTTAAATAAACACACGTGAAAACAAAGTTTATGTATTGAACTTTTAGCAAAAATAGTGTAACCAAGACTTATAGAAACTTAACCCTGTATTTCTCCTAGGAGTAGTGGTTCTGTAGTCTCTAATTCATTGTTCATGGTTTGTTTTTAGAAAATGACTACTTTGAATTAATAAGAATCAACTGTATTTTATTCTGTATGATAGTTCTCAACTTGGATATTTAAAATACATCTATTTAAAGAACTTACTTAGCATACAGATTCCCGTGTCCCACCCTTTTCAGATTCCGAAGTCCTGTTGGGGGTGAGGGATGAAGATTCTTAAAAGATAATGTAAGAGAGGTAGGGGTTCCAGGTCCACACAAGGCATGTGCTGATTGAAGCCATGATAGGTAGGTGTGATCTCGTCTTTCAGGCCTATAGGTTGACCAGTGCTTTCTTAAGGCAGTCAAGTGTAAGAAAAGAGCTAGACATGGAGGAGTCATCCGAGTTTTGTGGCCTAATTAAGGCTTCTTCCGTCTATTGTAAAACAAAGTTGATGGTATCTACTTCACAAGATTGGTTTGAGAATTTAGTAAAATAACATTTTGAACTTAAAAGTGTTATTCTCATTCCATAGATAGAATTAAAGAGACTCTGCTGGGAGCTAGAGTTGAGTGCCTAGTACTCTTGGATGTTATCTCTGGAGCTTTTGCCAACCCTGTGGTGTTTTTTCTTCAGGTAACTTGGATGGGGAGGACCATGCTGCAGAGCGAACTGTGGAAGATGTTTTCCTGCGAAAATTCATGATGGGCACCTTCCCAGGGTGCCTGGCTGACCAGCTTATCCTAAAGCGCCGGGCCAACCAGGTGGAGATTTGTGCCCTGGTGCTGAGACAGCTGCCTGCACACAAGTTTTACTTCCTCATTGGCTACAGTGAAACTCTGCTCTCTCACTTTTACAAGTGTCCTGTGCGTCTGTACCTCCAAACTGTGCCCTCAAAAATTGTGTATAAGTACATCTAGATAACCCCAACCCGCACCCCCGCTTTTTTTTTTATTTTATTTTTTTTTTTTTGCAACAAGCTCTCTTCTTCAGGGGACAGAAACACCAGGAAGGCGGGGGGGAGTATAAATGGAGAAGTACTCAGGCTTTGTTTTCAAAGTGCCACTAAATAAATAGAACTTACTTTTTACTTTTCAGTGTGTCTTTACTCTTAGGATGAGGAAACTAGAATAGGGTTTCTTTGAGGCCCCAGAGCTCCTGGGATAACTGCCAGTTGTTTGAGGTTTAGTTAGTAGCTATCATTCAATTACAAACTTGTATCAAACAGTATCAGGGACTTTTCTTTGTTTCTTCTCAAAATTGAAAGATTCAGTTTTGGTGATTATAAAGTAATAGTGTTTTGTTTTGTTTTTTTTTTAAAGATTTATTTATTTATGCATACAAGAGCTGTGGTACAGACCAGAGATGTGGGGGGTGAGAGGATCCACCAGAGACAGAGCGGGGAACAGGACAGGCAGATCGACCGAAATACACTGCTGAGGCAGGCAGTGGGGCAAGACAGGAGAGGTCTGCCTTGCCATGTGGGTTTCTCCCTGGGCAGCTGGGGATCGAACTTGTGCTGCAGAGGCTGCAAACTACTTCACAGTGAGGCGCTCAACCCCTTAAGCCACCAGAGAGGCCCAATAGTGTTAATTTTTCAAAAGAGAAATATGGACATGTATCAAATTAATCATGAAACTTTGTTGTAATTCCACCCCAAGGAGAACCATGAACTGAACAGTTTTTTGTATTTCATTTCCAGATGTACTTTTTTTCCAGAACTACTTTAATGCATACTCATCATTGATGAAACAAGTTTATAAATGAGCACCTACTCTGAATCTGGTTGTCTTCTAAGTGCTTGGAATCCATCAAAGAACAAAAATTATTTGCAAGCTCTTTGCCTTTATGGCACTTGTATCTCTTAGGAGAGTTCAAGGACGGTTAGGCAGCATTGGAGATTCCAGACAGGTATGAGAGAGAGACATGCAAGTAAATGGGGGAGAGTGTTTCAGAAAGCAACATCTGCAAAGCTACATGTACTGCTGGTGATTAGCCATGGATTACTGACCTTCAACTTGAATTTGATACCTTCACCATGACTAATACCCTTAATTTGAACTTGCCCTAATCCTGACCCTGATTCTCACGCTGGACCTTGTTCTCATTGATAGTAATGCTCCCCCTGACCTTACCCACAGCTTGACCTATACTCTCAACCTCACTTTACTCAGGATCCACTTGGACCCTTCCTTGATCCTGTCTCTGGCACTAACTTTGACTCATGACCTTGATCCTGAGTATGACCCTCATGTTTACTGTAACCCTGCTCACAATATGAACTTCTCCTTGAAAACTTCATTCTACTCTCCTTTAGCATGACCCTGACTAACTTCATTTTTAACTCTAAACTTGGTGCCTGCTTTGATTTTGAAAATGATCGTCATCCAGATTCTTGTGATCTTGACTATGAATCTGGAAGTCATTTAAATCTGACTCTCACTCTATTCAACAACCCTGAAAAATGACATTTAAGTCCTTTGACACCCTGAAGACAAAAATCAAAACCTGACTCTGACCCAGACCTTGATCCTTTTCACCTTTACTCTGCCACTGTTTCTGACTTTGAACCTAACTTTTGATTTGCATTTGACCCTCTCCCTCTTGATTCTCACCTTACTACAAACTGACCTGAAGTTATGACCCTCAGAGCATGACTTTGACAGAATTTCACTCTATAACTACTGCTTATCCTAATTGCTTATCAAATATAGCTGAACCTCAGCTGTACTTGATTATGTACCTGACTCTCATGACCCAAATTCATGCACATACTGATATGAAACTGAACTTGAATCTTACCCTGTCACTTACTGTGTCACCGATGCTCACCAGCTCCTTGATACCATCAGAGGGACCCAGATCTTGACCCTGATTCTTTTATTGAAATATACGTTACACCGTGTAGTTCAATATTGGTTTATGACACTATATGATTTAGGGGAATAGCCTCATATATCCTTAGCTGTATATTACTAGACCACAAATCATCACCAAAGCACCCATAGTCCTTTCCCACAGACTGTTATGCCCCCTTCTCACTTTGTTCCAATCACTATAGTAATCTCAGTTCGCTATAGTAATCTTAATTCTACAGTCATATTCTTAGGGTTTGTTTTGTTTTGTCAGTTTCTTTGATTATATATAAGTGAAATCATCTGCTATTTGTCTTCCTCCTAACTTATTTCATGTAGTATAATGTCCTTTAGTTCCATCCACATAAGTCACATGGCAGGAGTTCATCTTTTTTGTGCTTTTGTTTTTAATAGCTGAATACCTATTATGCTGAATAGTTTTAATAGCTGAATATACAGGGAATACTTATGCTTAATCCATTTATCTGTAGCTGGGCACTTAGTTTGTTTCCATAACTTGGCTAGGTAAATAGTGCTTCAATGAACACAGGAATGTATATATCCCTTAAGTTGGGGCATTTGCATTATATCCCTTAAATTCGTGTGTTTGTATTTATTTGAATAGATGCCAAAGAGTGGAATTACTGGCTCTATGGTAAGATATCCATGCTGTTTTCCATAGGGGCATGAGCAGTTTACATTTATACCAACAGCATATAAGGAAGGATTCCTTTTCTCCACACCCTTGCAAAAATTTGTTGTTGCTCTTTTCTCGTTTAATGGGCCATTTCAATGGGAGTGAGGAGGTTTTGATTTAGAATTTTGTGCATTTCATGTTGAATATTTTTTTCAATTGTTGACCATCTATACATCTTTTGCGAAATACCTTTAACTCTTTTTTTTTTTTTTTGAAGATTTATTTATACAAGCACTGGGTACAGTCAGAAGCGCGGGAGGGTAAGAGAATTCACCAGAGCCAGAGCGGGGAACAGAACAGGCAGACTTGACGAAATACACTGCTGAAGGGAGCAGTGGATGGGCAGGAGAGGTCTGCGCGCCATGTGGGACCCTCGCTGGTGGCCGGGGATCAAATCGGCGCTGCAGACGCTGTGGGCAGCTTCTCAGCCCAGCGCTCAACCGCTGCGCCACCAGGGGAGGCCCAATCTTTAACTCTTTTGACTGTTTTTAATTGGGTTATTTGTTCGCATTTTTTCTTTTTCTTTTTTTTCTTTTTAGTTGTATGAGATACTTGTAGATCTTGGATATTAACCTCTTGTGAGATGTACGATGTGTAAATATTTTCTCCCATTCACTAAGGTGTCTTGTTTTAGTGATAGTTCATGCAATTGTGCACAAGTTTTGCAGTTTGATGTAGTCCCATTTGTTTATTTTTGTTTTTGTTTCCCTTGTTAGAGTCCAGTTCCTAAAGACATCACTGAAGGCAATGTCATGGAGATTTTTGCCTGTTTTCTTTTCTTCTATGTATTTTATAGTTTCATGTCTTAAATCCAAGTTTTTCATTAATTTCTAAGTTAATTTTTCTATATTGTGAGAGAGATGTCTCTAGTTACATTTTTCTGCTGTGTGTGTCCAGTTTTCCCAGCACGATTTGTTTTTTCCCCATTGTATACCCTTAGCTACTTTATCATACCTTTAGCCATAATTTTCCATGCAGGTATGGTTTCATTTCTGCAGTTTTTATTCATTTAGTTTCTATGTCTGCTTTTGTTCGAATAGCATACTGCTTTTTTAATACAGTCTTGTAGTATAGTTTGAACTCTGGGAGTGTAATACCTCAATTTCACTATTCTTTTTTTCAACATTGATTTGACTGTTTAGGGTCTTTCATATTTCCACATAAATATCAGTTATATTTTCATTGTTTCTTGGAAACATCCATTGAAATACTGATAGTAATTCCATTGTATCTATATATTGCTTTCAATGAGATGGACATTTTAACAATGTTAATTCTTTCAAACCATGAGCATTGATATGTCTTAAAATTTTTATTGGATAGGTATTACATCTTCCCTGTTTTGTTTATGCCTGGCTATTTCATACTTTTTGATGCTACTGTAAATGGGATTATTTCCTTGATATCCTTCTCTTCCAGTTCATTATTTGTACATAGGTATGTAATAGACTTTTATATGTTGATTTTGTAATCTGCCACTTTTCAATAGAGATTTATTTCTAATGTGAAATTTTTTTAGTGGAATCTGCTAATAGTGATAGTGTTACTTCTTTTGTTGAGTGTATAATGTAGATAGAGGGGTATATATGAGTGATCATATAGTGTAGAATATTTGTATAGTTACTTAGTGTAGTTTGCATTGAATTTTCTTTTCAAAAAATTTTTTTTAAAGATTTATTTATTTATACAAGCACTGGGTACAGTCAGAAGCACGGGAGGGTGAGAGAATTCACCAGAACCAGAGAGGGGAACAGAACAGGCAGACCGATGAAATACACTGCTGAGGGGAGCAGTGGGCGCAGCAGGAGAGGTCTGCACGCCATGTGGGACCCTCACTGGTGGGCAGGGATCGAATTGGTGCTGCAGAGGCTGCGGGCAGCTTCTCAGCCCAGCACTCACCCGCTGCACCACCAGGGGAGGCCCTAAAATTATTTTTAATTGAGGTAATATTAGGATATGCCCATCAAGTATTGCCATTATAGTGCACCCAACCCATACTCCATCACCACAAGCATTGTACTTCCATCCCCCTTTGTTATTACTCTTCCTTCACGCTTGGTGCTTTAGTTCTGTAGTCGGATATCAAGGATTAGTTTTTGTTTGTTTTGTTTTTTTTAAAGTTTTATTTATTTATTTATACAAGAACTGGGGTAGAGGCCATATGTGCAGGAGGGTGAGGGTATTCACCAGAGACAGAGCGGGGAACAGGACAGGCAGAATGACGAAATACACTGCTGAGGGGAGCAGCAGGCAAGAAAGAAGAGGTCTGCTCGCCATGTGGGACCTTGCTGGCTGGGATTGAACCGGCACTGCAGAGGCTGCCGACAGTTTCACAGCACTGCACTCAACCGTCTGCGCCATCAGGAGAGGCCCTCAAGGATTAGTTTTTAAAGTTTATTCTTTTTTTTTTTTTTAAATAATAAATTTTATTGTTATATTCCCCATACAATTGCAGCCCCCCCATTCTGACCCCAATCCCTCCCCTCCCGCCCCGCCCCCTAAAAGTGTCTCTGGTTCATAGTTTTTTGTTGATTTTGATTTTCACTTTCTTATAGTTATTCATTTTCCTGGTCCCTTATTTAAGTTTTCTAGATTCCTGTTATGAGTGAGACCATCCGGTATTTTTCTTTTTCTTTTTGGCTTATTTCGCTGAGCATGATCCCTTCCAGCGCCATCCATGTTGCTGCAAATTGCATGTGTTTATCTTTTTTGAATGCTGAGTAATATTCCATGGTATATATGTACCACATCTTCTTGATCCAGTCATCTATTTTTGGGCATTTGGGTTGTTTCCAAAGCTTAGCTATTGTAAACAGTGCTGCTGTAAACATAGGGGTGCAGGTGTTCTTTGGAATTGATGTTTCTGTGTCCTTTGGGTAAATACCTAGGAGTGGAATTGCTGGATCATATGGAAGCTCTATGTTTAGTAGGTCCAGAAATCTCCACACAGCTCTCCATAGTGGTTGGACCAGTTTGCACTCCCACCAACAGTGCAGAAGAGTTCCTTTTTCTCCACACCCTCGCCAACATTTGTTGTTGCTAGTTTTTTTAATATGTGCCATTCTCACTGGTGTAAGATGGTATCTCATGGTAGTTTTGATTTGCATTTCCCTGATGACAAGTGATGTTGAACATTTTTTCATATGCCTGTTGGCCATTTGCATTTCCTCTTCAGAGAAGTTTCTTTTAGCTCTTCTGCCCATTTTTTGACTGGATTATTTTCTTTGTTGTTGTTGAGTCTCGTCAGCTCTTTGCAGATTTTTGTGATCAGTCCTTTATCATTAGTGTTGGGTGCAAAAATGTTCTCCCAGTTGGTGGGGTTTCTCTTTGTTTTTGTTATTGTCTCTTTTGCTGTGCAGAAGCTCTTTAATTTGATGTAGTCCCAGCTGTTTATCTTTGCCTTCACTATCACTGCTTTGGGTGATGTGTCTGTAAGATGTCTTTGATGTGCAAATCACGTAGTGTTTCGCCTATATTTCCTTCTATATATTTATGGTTCAGGTCTTATGTCTAGTTCTTTTAATCCATTTTGAGTTGATTTTTGTGTATGGTGTGAGGTAGTGGTCAAGCTTCATTTTTTGCATGTAGCGACCCAGTTTTCCAGCACCATTTATTGAAAACTTTCTTTGCTCCAATGCATAGTCTTTGCTCCTTTGTCAAAGATTAGTTGACCATAAATCTGTGGGTTTATTTCTGGATTTTCTATTCGATTCCATTGGTCTGTATGTCTGTTCTTGTTCCAATACCATGCAGTTTTGATGATTATGGCTTTGTAGTATAGTTTGAAGTCTGGGAGTGTGGTGCCTCCATTCCCTTTTTTTTCAGGAGAGCTTTGGCTATTCGGGGTTTTTTGTGATTCCATATGAATTTCATCAATAATTGTTCTATTTCTTTGAAGAATGACATGGAAATTTTGATTGGAATAGCATTGAATCTGTATATTGCTTTTGGTAGGATGGCCATTTTAATAATGTTTTCTTCCAATCCATGAGCAGGGGATGTCTTTCCATTCTTTGTGTCTTCTTCTATTTCTTTTAACAGTGTTTTATAGTTTCTTTGTATAGGTCCTTTACCTCTTTTGTTAGATTTATTCCCAAATATTGATTTTTTTGTTTCAATAACAAAAGGAATGGTTTTTTTGATTTCTTCTTCAGATTCATTGTTTGTGTATAGGAAGGCTACTGACTTTTGCGTGTTGATTTTGTATCCTGCCACTTTACTGAACTGATTGATGAGTTGAATAGTTTTTCTGTGGAGTTTTTGGGGTTCTCTATGTATAATATCATATCATCTGCAAATAGTGATAGTTTGACTTCTTCTTTTGCTATTTGGATTCCTTGGATGTCTTCTCTTGTCTTATTGCTCTGGCTAGGACTTCCAGTATTATATTGAAAAGCAGTGGTGAGAGTGGGCATCCTTGTCTTGTTCCAGATCTTAATGGAATTGCTTTCAGCTTTTCACCAGTGAGAATGATACTGGCTGTTGGCTTGTCATAGATGGCCTTTATGATGTTGAGGTATGTTCCTGTGTCCAAGAATTTCAGGGCTTTTATCATGAATGGGTGTTGCACTTTGTCGAAGCTTTCTCAGCATCTATTGATATTATCATATGGTTTTTATATTTTTTTTGTTGATGTGTTGGATAACGTTGATTGATTTTCGATGTTAACCATCCTTGTGTCCGGAATGAATCTACTTGGTCGTGGTGAATTATCTTATGGATACATTGTTGGATTCTGATAGCTAAAATTTTATTGAGGATTTTTGCATCAGTGTTCATGGGAGATTGGCCTGTAGTTTTCCTTTTTGTGTTGTCCTTGTTCGGTTTTGGTATTAGTCTAATGTTGGCTTCATAGAACGTGTTTGGTATTGTCCCTTCCTTCTCAATTTTGGAAGAGTTTGTGAAGGATAGGCACTAATTCGTCTCTGAATGTTTGGTAGAATTCATTTGTAAATCCATCAGGTCCTGCGCTTTTGTTTTTGGGGAGGTTTTTGATTACCATTTCAATTCCGCTGCTTGTAATTGGTCTGTTTAGGTGTTCTATTTCTTCTTTATCTAGCTTTGGGTGATTGTAGAGTTGTAGGAATTTGTCCATCTCCTCTAGATTGTTAAACTTGTTTCCATATAACTGTTCATAGTAGTTACTGATTATTCTTTTGATTTCTGCTGTGTCCGTTGTGATTTCTCCTCTTTCATTGATGATCCTGTTTATTTGTGCTTTCTCCTTTTTTCCTTTGTGA